CTGGCAACATAATGAAACCCTTTAAACTGGCAGACAAACATACAACGTTTAAAAATAGTGAGTAACTGCACAAAATCCTGGCAGACCAAATATCTTTCACACTGATGATGATGCAAAATAGTTCTTGATTCTATGTTATTGGAAATGTGCACAGGTCCTCATACTACTGCTGTGGTACAATGTCCAAACTACATTAACAGGGTTAAATATTAACATACTGAGGTAAGCGTGAAAAACATACAGAATTAGGAGAAGCAGCTTGGAAATGACGCAACCATTGTTGTTTTAAACAGATGTGACAGCAAGAGTGCCAAGTGACCTCAGCAAACACAGAAACTACAGCCAGGCCAACAATATGGACTTACATTTCATAATAATAGATACTCATGCAGTGTATTGAGGTGTTTAAATTACTGCCTGTATGCAATCGTACATGTTATCCAGAATAAGGAGGGAATAGGAGATTTTATTTCTGTAGAAGGAAATGGAATCAAAATGTGAACTTGGCAGTTGCCAATGAAGCAAGTTTCAGGTAAGCTTCAAACTCAGAACCCATCAGCGATCGTCTGAAGATTATATATGTCTCTGGGGGAAAGCAGCTAACTTCTCTGACATTCTAGTGAAGCCAAACCCTGCACACAAGATGATGATTATTCTGTGATATTTATGGTTTGGTCTCGTCTCTGTCTCACCCTGCCTTGGTCTTGGTCTTGACTCAATCCCTAAATGTCTTGGTCTTATCTTGGTCTCGGAGCACTCTGGTCTCGGGTTTGTCTTGGTCTCGGTTAGTGTGGTCTTGCCTACAACACTAGCGGTTAGCGTCAAAGGACTTCCAGCCTTGACTTTCATTACTGTGCGCTGCATTGTTTACTGTCCAATTAGCCACTTAAGAAATTAGTTTTCAGTTTTAAAGCAAAACAAAGTTCACACCTCAAGATTAGCCTGCAAAGTAAGTTTATTCAATACACCCCCTTAAAGGACCGCCGGTTCAACTGTTTCTGGTGAGTCTTGGTTTAACTGTAAATAGTAAATTACACAGAGGCTTCACTCTGGCTCACTTCAGCTTCTGAAAATGTTAAGTGTGCTGAGTGGAGGTCAATCGGTGCATTCCAGGGAGTCAGAAAGTCTCAATGCTGATTGGCTTTTGCGACATAGTAAGTGTTAAAAATTGTGTTTTAAATTTGAGAACTGATTGCTTGCTGTCTGAAACGTGGTGGTCAATACTACTCAGAACTACAATTGTGATTTAAACAGAAAGCAGAGCACAACCTCGACTATATGCGAACATCGACCTATAAATACTAGATTAGATTAGTAAACAAAGATAAGATATAATTCAAAGTTGTCCTTTTTCAAAGAACATCCTGCACCCAATTCAAAAAAAGATTCAATGAATCACACTGCTAAAACCTCCAGTATCCTTAAAGTTAAATCAATACTTCATAGTTGGTAGATTTTTTTCTCTACTTCATGTTTATGTCATTACTCAGTTACATGAAATGCAACCAGAACCACTTCTCATCCAAATGGTTTTCACTCAATTTGTAAACCTTGTCAGAGTAACCACACTTAACTAAGCACACATCATGATGTACTTAAAATGAATTATGTTGTAAAAAAATAAAAATAAAAAAAACATCAGAAAATAATTTGTGGTTCTGGGCATGAAAGGATACTGAAAGTTCATGCAATGCTCCTGAGAATAGAATAATAATTCAAACAATAAAGACTGAGTAGTTCATTATGGTTCGGTCTGCCTTGTAAAAATGTTTCTCTGGAAAAAAAAAACCATTACCCATTAACATTAGACTTAAGTATGACGTACCTTCATTCAGGAGGTCAGTGATGTCGGCCTGAAACTTGTTCCCGACTCGGATCTCCCCCTTATCAGCCAGCAGAGTCTTCTGCTGAGGGTCGTACACCAGCGAGTAGAAGAAGGCATCCTGGGAAATAAAGAAAAGACAGGAAGGCGTGAGGATGGGAATGAAAGAAACAGGAAGCGAGGAGAGAGAGAGAGAGAGCGAGTGTATCCGCGTCTGCATGTATACACACACACACACACGTGTATGTGTGTGTGAGCGTGTACTTTCCCCTCTGCTAGTCTCTCGTCTCCTCATTACTGTATGTGAAAAGAACATTCTGGGTCAACACGTTGAATTATTCATCTGGAAACAAGAATCTCTTAACTCGTAAGTCTTCCACACACACTCGTTCTGAGATAATCCTGAAATCTAACGCACCTAGTCACAGTCAAGAAGACCCCGTCGTGTTCTAAGGCTGGTGTACGTACCTCTCTGTCCAGGTACGACTTCAGGGCTTCTGTCTCGTTCAGCAGCGTCACGCAGCACTTCCCCCTGGAGTCCAGCGAGGATTTCGACGAAGAGGGAGAGAGGAAGGAGCGGGGAAAAGGAAAAGGGTAAAGGAGTCATAACCAAAAGTTAAAGATCGAAAGACAGGACGGAGACGATAAGGAGGAGGGAGAAGAGCAAATAGTTAACAAGAGAAACACAGAACAACCAACAAGACTTGAAGTCCAGGGGAAAGCACGTTACATAAGTACCAGATGAAGGCCGCTACAATTCTCCAAGCTGTCTCAGAAACTACTTTGATGTAGGATGCATCTCAGAATCTGCAACTACAATATTGATTTGGCTCCAGCTGGCATAGCCTGTTATTTGTTGAATCACGGTTCAGCGTGTTGACACTCATCCTCTTCCCATGCTACCGTCTGAATTCAAATTATTTACCAGATAATTAGACAAACCTCTCCCCGCCTGAAGCAGACACAATTTGGCCGTCTTTTAAAACTCAAACACTGGTGTAACCTTGCTCAGTCAGAAATCATAATAACGTCTACATTCTCGCTCGGAAAAAAATTGAGTGTTTTTTTTTTTTTTTTTTAATTTGTGCAGAAACCAGTTTGCAATTCCTGCCTCTCTGTAGAAATGTCAAAGTAATAATATGGTAGTGATTAGACAGGTTGTCTGGAGATTACTGATTTAGCAAAGGTAAATGATATCCTATATGTAGAATCAAGCATTGTGTTGGCATTTAGCGTTCAACGTGCGCACGGCATATGACAGGATTCTTTTAGTTTGTTTGGCTCGACAGACAGCAGACGGTTTACAAGCAGCAGATACTGGGAGTGAAGAAATCAATTCATGATCACATCTCAATCATCCTCCAAAAACAAGTCTGAGTTTTTTTTTAATTTGTGCAGAAACCAGTTTGCAATTCCTGCCTCTCTGTAGAAATGTCAAAGTAATAATATGGTAGTGATTAGACAGGTTGTCTGGAGATTACTGATTTAGCAAAGGTAAATGATATCCTATATGTAGAATCAAGCATTGTGTTGGCATTTAGCGTTCAACGTGCGCACGGCATATGACAGGATTCTTTTAGTTTGTTTGGCTCGACAGACAGCAGACGGTTTACAAGCAGCAGATACTGGGAGTGAAGAAATCAATTCATGATCACATCTCAATCATCCTCCAAAAACAAGTCTGAGGATGACTGCAGCCTTTACAACCATGAGTGCTGAACTGAGAGAATAACGGATTTGCCTCTTTTTTTTTTTTTTTTTTAAACTTGACAGCCTTTAAAATAAGTAAGTCATGATTTAAAACAGAAACAATGTGTTGAAGTAGACAAACAGCTGAATTAGAGCTCCATGTAAAGCATTGACAAATAGTACTTTGCCTTCACTTTGAGGTAGGCAGTCATCATTCAGGGCATTTTAATGGCTAAAGATAATAATACTTACATTCCCTCAAATTTACAACACAATACATACTTTGAATAAACTCAATCAGGCAAACTGAGTAAACATGTTCCAAGAATGCTCCTAGGTAAAAATGAGAAAATCCCACAGATCTAAATCAATATTTAGAATCAAGCCACATGTGTAAATCAACTGGGAAAAAATGCAATCTAATATCAAATTTGGATGATTATCATATTGAGGATAGTGGAGACAATGCAGCATGTAATCAAGTAGAACAATATCTAAAGCCGTTTTCACACATGCACTCCTGAAAATATCCAGATCATTTCAGGAGGACTGCTCCGGAGAGCTGGCTGTTCACATATGCTCCTCACAGCGGGAGACTATCTCTGTAAGATGGGGGGGGGGGGGGGGGGTCTCCCGAACCGGGCGTAACGTTAAAAAAATAAAAAGACTAGGAAGTAGCGGACGGACCAACAGAGTTCGCTGTACGATGCTATAATGAGAATATTTGTCTTTATATCAATGTAACACGGAGAACAACACACTGACAAACAGAAAACATTATGAAGCTGTTTAGTTATGTGCGTGGATATCGTAGCGGCCGTGGGCAGACAGTCAATGAACTGACTCCAGTCACAGTATATGAACGTGACTCCCCTCTTTCCCCTCCCATTGGCTCGAGGTGAAAAACTGATAAAACAAGTGGTGTTTGTGAAAGGTCAAATTAAAGTGAAAATGTTGTCGTCACCATAGTGAGCTATGACAGCAACATTATCACTGTTTGAAGACTTTCAAAGAGAAGACGACAAACGCTTTTACAAATTATTGTTGGTGAATTGTCCCTGATTTCAAAATTCTCAATCCCGGCCTCAGTGAGGTGTTATAAGAGGAGCTACTGTACAGACTGCAACGCCTCAAATTCCTCAACAAGATGACACACTTTTCTGTGTGTGAGGAAAGCTCCTTACAAGGCAGCCAGCATGAAATGACATTGCAGTAGATTTGTTATTGACTTACTTCTTTATTAAAAACAATGTGTTAGTTTGGCTGCACTGTGAACACATTCACCAGCTGCTCGTCTGCTGATTTACTGAGAAAATTGCTGCAATATCAAAACAAAAGTGATGCTAAAATTGTGAACGCACAGAAAGTATTTTTACATTTCAGTATGATGATAATTATGCTGCCCCTTCTTAAATCATACTTTTTTTAATCAGAGATCCTTTCTTTACTTGGATTTTAATTCCATTGCATTTTGAATGAAGTGAATATATGAAAAAACTGAAAATGCTCATGAATTGGTATGAGACACATGGATGATGTACGGTAGTATACCTGATGTGTGTGGCAGGTAAAGACTCCAGTTGTCGGGACAGGAAGAGCTCTCTGTGCCTGAGCTGGTGTTTCTGTTTCTCAGGGAGGTCTGCCATCTCTGGATTCTCCATCTCCTCCTCCAGCTCTCCTGGGGGCAAGGGGAGGTAAAAAACGAAGGGCAAAGGTCAAATATACACACATCAGACGAGGTGGAACAATGACGTCCTCAGGGAACACAGGGGTGTGTGGGGGAATTTCGAATACATCGGCTGCATCCAAAAACAGTCTCAGGTGCACAGCGAGCGAGTATACAGCACAAGAATGAGTACTTGATGAGTCGGAACAATGGAGTCCCACAGGACATTAGTTCATACAAATGCAGTTTTTCTTTTTTTATATTTTACATAAAATCTCAATGAAGATGTCGACATGAGAACTGAAATATTAATCAAATATTATCACTATGACGTTTTCTGTTTCACTTTTTGGTTTTCTACCACAACGTTGATATCACAGTTTCTCCCACTCTCCATCATGTCAATGACAAACAAATGTCTTTCAACAGATATCATAACGCTCTTGTATTTCTTGCGTGAAAACTTTTTAAGAACATGGGTGGGGTGTAAAAAAAAAAAAAAAAGCAATCCAAGGAAAACAGGAAAATGGCAAATCTGTGACTTCTAGGGCTGTGATCAGAAAATCGATATGGCAAAACCATCATGTGCTGAAAAATACATTTTAATTAAGATTTATTTATTTTTTCCCACTGTACGCCCAATGAAACCAATTTGCCTCACAAGTAAAAAAAAAAGTTAGTAGACAGAAACTTCAATTGGTCAAATAAAATACATCATTTGTGTTCTGCTCGGTATCTCTCAGATGAGTAGGTGAGCATTAGCATTAGTGATGCATTCCGGTTTTTAATTGTTGATCGAGCTCATTTGGTTTCACAGCAGACTCATCAGCTTCAGTGTTGTGTTTCAGAGAGCTATGGCATGATTGATTTTATTATCATAACCAAGGAGGGGCTGTCGGAAAGGATTTCAGTTTTCTTTTTTGCAAAACTCGTTGGAAGGAATGCGCAGAGTTAGAACCAATTAAATGTTGGACCTGATACAGCTCACAAACATGCAGTAATATTGACTAAACAGTAATACGAGTGTCTTATTAATAGCAAATACTTCACACAAACATGGACATGGACATTTTTTCCTTGTAAAGATAAACTTTTTTGTAGCAATTATTTTTGATGACAGGCTGCAATGTTTATCATATTTTGATTATCTGTTAATATCCATGCAGTTTTTAAATTAATATTGATGTTTTGTTTTCTCTGTTTGTTCTATTTTTTCTAACTTGTGAGCTTTGGGACACTCCTGAATTTCCCCCAGGGGATGAATAAAGTATTTATCTATCTAGCTATTTCATTTCAGTCTAAACACTTGAATGATTTGATGCTGTTTTCTGCCAGGAGGTTATTTTAGGCCTTTGGATTTCATTCGTCAGCGGGGAACCATACAAATATGATTGAGCAAATAACTGGTGAAAGGGTTTAGAAGGGACCAAGAGCTGGATGTGGATTGCATTCCAACATAGAATCTATGACCAGCTCAGAATATTATTCACAAACAAGCAAAACGTTATCAAATCATACTCATGAAGAATTTATTTTCTACTTATTAACGTTTTTTTGTCATGACCGTTTTTTATTTACTTCCTCTTTGATGAAGATGGTTCAGTCCAAGCATTCAAATGTTTCTACAAATATTCAGAATAATTGATTTTTACTTTTAACAGATGTGTGTTTGGAAAATAAAAAACAACAAATGAAGACGTGCATACTGAATAAACCGCTGAGATGCAGCATAGCTGTATTTTGACATTTCTCTTTAAGTTTTGAAAATGTCCAGACACATCAGGGTTTCACTTGCAGATTGGCATTTTATAGAAGACTGGACTATTTTGTATTTTACGAGCTCTATATGGCACACACTAAAACAGACCAAGTCAAGGAAGGAAACAAGAATCAGAAATCACAGGGAGATAAACAGTCCTCCAGCAGCAGAGCAGAAATAAACAGACAGAGTGACTGTTGAAGGCCCATCAGCCCCATTTGAGCCGATCATGTGTCTGCGTCATTCTGCAAGAATAGATTGAGCTGCTGCTGGTAGAAACATCTCCTCTGCACAAGCCCTTCCTCATATGTGGATGAGGAGGGTGGAGGGAATGAAGGAGAGAGAGGAGGTGAGATGGACAGGAAAAGAGATAAAACGGAGGGACAGATAAAATAGGCGAGACGATCACAGAGGGACAAAGTGTGACGAGAGTGATAAAGAGCGAAGGGAGCAAAAGATGAAGAGAGAGAGAGACATGAGGACGCGGCGATAAAGAGAGGGAGAGAGGAGGAAGGGGAGCAATAGAGAAATCAACCGGGAGAGAGAGAGACAGAGAGAGGAAGAGGAGAAGAAGGGAAGGGAGGAGAGAGAGAGAGAGAGAGAGAGAAAGAGAGCAGTCAGTACGTGCTCCAATTCATTTGGAGTTTCATTAGAGGAAGCGAGACAGAAAGAGGGAGACGGGGAGCAGAACAAAAGCAATCAAGGGATTTTCAGGAGAAGAGATGTGTGGCCAAAATCAATAAGTACTCCTTCACTCCCTCACTCTGCCGGGCACTCAGCACCCAGCAGACACACACACACACGCACACACACACACACACACACGCGCACAGCATGAGCCTCACTCCATCTTCTGCCATGTAAAAGCAGCCCAATATGGTCGAGATTATTAATAAAAGGAATAATAACAAGATGAAATGGGACAGGAAATAAGGTGGAGAGTTGTGGGAAGGTGAGACGCAGATATTAACTGTGTGTTTGAAAGGTGTCCAAAGTGTTACACGACTGAAAATGCGTGTTAAATATTACATTCTGTGCATGCACACGTGTTTTACATTTCACTTCACATATTTACAGTTCGTTCCAGCGGTCGTCCAGCCAGACGGCTCATAATGATCGTCATGTCTTCTCTACAAGGCTCTGCATTCGCGTGTGAATCTATAATGCTGCAAAATTGAATCAAATGTAAAATGCAAAAGTTGTGTTTATTAATTACTGGTAAAAACTTTCACTTTCTGTGGATGTTTTTTAAGTGCCCCAGGCGAGGCTCACTGCGAGATAAGAGTTGGTCAAAGAGCTGACCCCTGAAAGTCGACAAATTGAATCAATAGTGGAGAAGAGCCGGGGCCGACTTGTATTTTGTCAATTAATTTCACTCTCACTCTGCAAAAACTGTAGACTTTACAAGCCAAATTTAATAATGTCCTGAAGTGTTAGATTTTTTTTTTCTTCAATGTATCCCCTACAGAAGCATCCTTCTCTGCAACACAAACAAACCCTAAATACCAGGCGCTGCTGTAGCTCAGCTGGTAGAGCCGGCCTCCCGTGTTCAGAGGCTAAAGACATTGTTGCAATGGTTGCAAGTTTGACTTTCAGTCCTAACTCTCTCCCCCACTGTTCCTGTCTCTCTCTTTTTTTTTTTGAACCATGTACTTGACCCATTGAGATCAAGGTCTCTTTCACAAAGGTGACCTGGCTATGAGGGCAGTAGCACACGTCATCTCTCTCTACCTGCCCTGTCAAAAAAAAAGGCTAAAAAAAAAAAAAAAGGCCAAAATAATAATAAAAAACAAAAGAAAAGGAAAGACCTCTAAATGAATCAGAGTGTCTCAGACGTTTATGGGTGAGGCTTAGGGTGCTGTGCGCTGAAGGGTGGCAAATTTCAGATTTTGATCTAGTTTGCTCCTTTCATAACTTTAGATTTAGACCTCCATTAATTTACAAATATTTCATATGGTTAAATTATAAAGTTAAAACAACAATGCCCTAAGTTTAAACAGTGTGTATGCTGAATATGTTTAATGTCAGACTGACAGCGACATTAGTAATGACAGAAGTATATTAAGAGAGTATGAATGTTGAGCTTGACAGAAACAAATAAAACAAACTGAGGATGCTGCCTTCATATTGAACAGAAAACACCTTCTCTGAACCAGGGTTTTTAATAGTGTTGTAGTCAAGACCACACTAACAGAGACCAAGACATATCCGAGACCGAGAGTGTGCTGAGTCCAAGACATTTACCGTAGGTATCGAGACTGAGTCAAGACCAAGACCAAAGCAGGACGAGACTAAGTCAAGTAGACCACGACCTTAAATAACACCAAAAAAAATTATCACTCACCAATTCTGAGACCGAGTAAAAATCCTTTAGTTTCCGAGACGAGACCTTCAAAAATTGGTCTTGAGACCCAGACTTATTTCAAGTACTAAAACACTCGTTTTTAAAGACCAACTTTTGAGAGCAGATCAGTTTGAATCATTAAATAAAAGAAAACTAACTTCAAGAAAAATACATTGAAACCAATTTGAAGCTTGTTTTTTTTTTTTTTAACAGAGATAGAGGAGCTCCTGAAAAAATTGACGGCCTATGTCTGAACGCTGCTTGGCACATTGTCGAGCAACACTGGTGAATTTAACGCCTTTAAGAGACATCCTTTATCAGAGATTTTACAAGAAATGAGACAATCGAGATAATGGGATTTCTTGTAAACAAGCAGGCAGTGTTGTTGTCCGTGGATACCTCTTTGCCCTCCCGACATTTATAGCTAAGTAAGTCCAATATTAGGTTTCATAAAACTGTTATAAGTGGTCTATATATAAGCAGTGCACACAGTTTGTTTCCTGATGTAAAACAATGCAGGAAATGTGCAATACTCAGAGCAAGCCCAGAAAATATATATGAACCTCTGGATGTGCAGAAGGAGGCACTCCTGCATTAAATAAGACATATGTAGACATGATAAAGTGTTTGAAGAGCAAGAATGGAGTCAAGAGTTTTGATTCTCTTCTGTGTAGCAGGGAAAAAAAATGAATATTGTTTGTTCTCTCCACCCTGCATGTACAAAATCTTTGCGTGTGTTTTCTATCTTTTGAAAGTGAACCTTTCAGTTTTTTGTTGAGGTTTTCTTTGCACAAATTGAGGCTAGATGCATTAAAGGTGTTGTGTCTGACTTTAGGTTATTTATAAATAGACTTGACTCAGCTCCAACCTGAGTCTATGTGGGGATGTGTGCTCGTGTGCACATGTGTT